CACAGGCTTTTTGGACATTTTTAAAAATTTTCTCAAAACTACCAAATCCATTTTACTTAGCAATTTATGTAACAGTCTCCATCTTGAGTTGTTTTTGATACCTCGGCTCAACTTGATATCTAACTGCTTCTTCACATCAATGACACAAGCAGTATTTGTGTTTGAGGGATCTATGGATCTGGGTGATCACTCAAGTTCCTTACGTGTTACAGTAGTTTGCTCAGTGTGTGTGTGTTGTATAGTGTCAGTATTCATAAGGTATTCCATAAAAGGCATGCAGTTAGCCTAACTTCATACCAGAGATACTACAATTATGATAACTATTTCATTTACTATTCTGAGAAACAAGTTTTTATTGGCTGCTACAACACTATTTTCCTGCAGCTATACTCATTATCATCTGTTTACGTCTATAAGCGAACTTTCTTGGCCCAGATGCTGACAGCTGACAAAAAAATAATACTGACCAAACTGCATAAAGTACATATATGGACAGTGATAAAAAAATCAAAATAAGTAATCTCTAATAATACAAAGAACAATTACGACTTTACGAAATGTGCCTTAAAATAAAATGTATGGAACATACATACTTCTGTATCAATTTATAGTTTCACTAAATGTATTATAAGAAAAACTCAGATTTCTTCTAGATCTGGCATTCCAGTTGTTTCTTCTCTGAGTCAAAAAACAATAGCATATTAATATCATTAATGCTATGAGTAATTTTGATACAATACAAATTACAAATGTAGTAATGAGGCATTTTTTCAGAAGACAATAATCAAACAATGGAGTCTTGTAGTTATATTCCACCTCCCACACATTAGAGGAAGGTTGCAATATCACATACCATTCAGTATTACTACAGCTCCACTGTTTTACATTGTCATTATGTACTGTACAGGAATCATCATTAGATATTTGTTCACAATCATTAGCAGTAATAAAGTGGGAGGTGTTATAGTACACCTGATGGACGGTAATTTCTGAGGTAACAGAAATGGTATGATCATCTTTTATTAGTCTAACGTAATACTCAGCAGACTCATTAATCATGACTGATACATGATTTACAGTGTCATTGGACAAGCAGTATGCTTTTACAACATTTGAACTGTTGTGTTTGCATGCAAGATATTCTGTTTTGTCATTATAAACAACAAATTGTGCTGGGCATGAGAA